AGTTCCAGTTTAGCCTCTTCAATTTCTAAAACAATCAACTCACGTTCATGGTAGCCGTAGTGACTGTATGCGCTGCTTTATCTCTCACTTGGAGAACCAGTGCCTTCGCTACCGGCACCAGTAGATGTTTCAGCAGGCGAGAGACGTCAACGGTGGATGGATGAGCGGTGGGCAGAAGACTGCACAAAGACGACAAGCACTGCGTTTGGACAGCCTTAACAAAACGTTATAATAAGAGAGCCCAAAAAGAAAGGGAATTTTCTTACCTCCGGAGCGAATGCCAATAAACGGCCCGCAGCAAGAAGCACTTGACGTCTTGCGGCAACGTCGCAATCGCCGTTGCCGATCGCGCGAGTTTCGCACATCCGATTTGCCATTGCTAGCAGACCAACAGCATACGAGTAGTTCCGTTTTCCCTGGCAGCATAGCCGTTCAACTTCCCTGAAAAGATACTTTTACTGAACAATAAGCTGGATAAATCGGAAAATATTTTCCCAGCCGAGAACGGCCCTCTTCCCTCCAGCGACCAAACACGACCCGCTGTTGGGGTCCCCAACGCTCGGCTCTGATGAAGGCTCTACTGGGATCAGTACAAGAATACCAATATGTACTTTTCGAATGAGATCCCAATTCTGGCGCACTTTCAAAGAATTCTTTAATGCAGTGAACTTTTGAATGAATTGATCACCTTTCCAATGCGGCCTCCACTTGGGTACAGACATAATTCTGAAGCGGTTGCAGTGTGACACGGCTGAAAAGCAGATCGACAACTCGTTCACGTAGAGCGTCTTGCTGTTCGCAGCTATCACCCGAAAAAGCCTGAAACAAAACATACAGTAGCTATGCTCAACAAGTGGAAATCCGTGGGTTTCTGTAAATCATTTTGTCACACATTCAAGGATGTGTTCATAGTTTGCTACATAGGCGGTTCAGCTGCGTTAAAAAGAAAAAAGCACTTCGTAGGGCACGCATTGCAAAATCGTAGCGACAGTATGCAATGCCTCGCATGGGCCAGCCGATGTACAAGTCAGTGTTCCTGTCCCCCTCCCCGACGAATCTGGTACCAATTTACCGTCTCCTGAGGGTAGAAGGCTTTTTTGTCAACCGCGTTACCCGAGCGAGTTACGTGACTATGACGTTGACTGGTGGTTCAGTGCCAAAAGACCTGGAACTGACCCGGTGTTGAGTGAACAAAAATGATGATGAGCGCAAGCACACCGCTAATCGTAGAATCGCAGAATCACATGAGCCAGGTAAGGCGGAGCTCTTGGCTCGCGCGCCTGCAACTGACTCACTAGTTCCGTTTCCGTCTATGGAATTATGGGCACTATTTAATTAACTGGGAGAAATGTCCTGTTTTGCTTGCATGGTGAGCGCCGAGAGTTTCTTTGATAATGAGCATTACTCACCTGAGCAGAAATTGCCTGAAACAAAGCGAAAGCATCGTGCTGAGTGTTGTTGAAGAAGAGTTGGTGAGATGCTGACGGTCGTATGACGTCTGCGTGGGTGTCCGGCAAAAATCCAAGCAATTGCAACTAAAAACTTCCGCGATTATAATATGAAAGTTGACCTTGAATAATCCCAACATGTCATCTTTCACAATTTATCCCACTCATGGCAAGGCACGACGTCAGATGCATGGTGCATCCCAGAAGGGATTATCAACAAGCAAAGTAGTAAAGGTTCACCTGTCGTACTCTGGACGCGTTATGAGGTCCTTTCAAAGACACATTCACATGTGACACATTGGCTACGCAGCATTTCAAGCTCCAACCGACAGTAAGTTCTGGAAAAAATCGATAATCCAATAACCTCCTTGGAATACAGTACTGCCACCGTACCTGATCCAGATTCTTCAGCATCAAATCGCGTCGCGACCCATCGATGTCCGCAGCGGCGAAAGGAGCAGTTGGGAAAGTGGCGACGGGCCTCATCGCGTGAGTTGTCAATGAAGAGGCAAAGAAGTATCGGCGAGCAATTTTCGAACGTTACGTTTAACGTGCGAGATCGGCTTTTGTCCTGAATAATTAGAAAAATACTACTATGCCCGAAAAAGAATGGTCCACTGGTCCTGAAGCCATCTCATATCATACTTTCGTGATCCTCAGCGAGGCGGGAGAGGGGGCGTATTCGATCGTTGAAAGGACGTGGGGTTGAAGGAACGGTCAGCAGTGAGCTTGAGGCAAAAGTTGCCCCCCCCCTCTTCAACTCTTCCCACACATTATTCTTGACAGTAATGGGAGAAAAACGCCGGGAAAGTGGTGCAAAAAAGAGAAAATTCACGAAGATGACAGGTAGGCTGAGCGATGGGGAAGGAATCTTATCAAATGAGGAAATTCTTGAGTGGCGAGATGTATTCCGCCAAAATTCACCCCAACGCCAGAGAAGCAGGCAAGCCCTGCTCACATATAGTGACCATTACTATGTATTCCAGAAAACCGATCTTAGGACCATATAAGTTAATTCAAGCATACGGTTTTGTAATTATAATATGGTATGTAAACGCGAATCTCAATAAGATGCAACGTGAAAGAAGGCAAAAATTGTCGAGCCAAACCTCATCACCGCTCTCCAAATATGTCTCAGGATCAGCCATGGCGGTCAAACAACAACGCATCGCGCGCCGTGTAGCTGGCTCTATTCGGCGTGGAACTTGTAATATCAACGCATCTCCTGAAAATTAGTTTGTTTACAAGGAACTTATATATATAATACTAAATGTTGCCTCATTGGATTGTAGCAAAAAAAAATCAATCAACGTTTATTTTAAAATATAACCCGCCTGTTTGAAATGCCATTGAAAATGATTCATCATTTGTATTTTTTTTTTAATTTATTGCATTTTACGTTTAATTTTCTTGCGATGCTAAGTGTGTGGGGGCGGGGATGTGGAGGAATGTTGGACCAAGTCCCTTTCACGTTTGTTTTGGCCTTCGCCGGCGTCAGTACTGTAGTACTCATCCTTTACGACACCAAGTTTCAGAATTTTATTCAATTAGTCTTTGTTACTGAACAGGAATATCACAATCGTTGAGCGTTAAACATCGAATTCGCTAGTGATCTGGGGTCAACCTACACCGAGGACTCCAAGCCAAATCGAGATTTTGACCTAAATTTCGAAAAATGATGCCCTAAAGAATAAATGACGCTAACAACAATGCCTCTGATTTCTTTCCCAATAAGGTTCCCTCTAAACTTGCGATCCCTCTAGCTGAAACTGCAAACTTATTTTGAACTTCGAAAACCGTTAACAAATCAGATAGTAACCTTGACGTCAACGTTGTCATTTCCTTGTTGGGCATTATGCGACTGGTTTGTCGAGTCAGTGATCCAATTCTCAGAAACCGATGGCTCAGACAGTACACCACCGACGGTACCGAGGATGTTACAGGTGAGTATCAGGAGTTCCTGGAAGAATCAGCTGAATAACTGTGTCAATCTAATCGCAGATAAAGAAATAACGGTTTAGGCTAATCTAATCGCGTTTAATGAACAAGGAGGCTCACACTACCTGCTCATGAGCCGTTAGCTGAATCGTCCACGCTTTGAAGCACAACGAACGAAGACGACCGTCGACTCCGGATGACTGTAGTATTACAGCGATGGTGTAAAGGAACGCGTGAAGGTGTTGAACCATTTTCGCTGCAACGGAAAGCAATTACAGTACATCTGAGAACTAAATAGATGGCTCCGCATAGAAAAGCTCAGAAACTCCCATCAGTCTGCTCACTGAGACGTGATGTTAAAGAAAATGTAGCTATCATACGAGTTCATGTGTTCAATCTCATAAGCCTAGGATTTGGATGTCATGTCCACTCAGCGATGGTGCCCACAAAATGTTCGGCATTTCCCTGTTTCCAGACCCAACAACATATTCAGCACTCCAACTTTAAAACAATTAGGTCCTAGTTCGAATGTCGCGCGCGTGATGCAGACGCATGGATGTTAATGCCCCGAGCCGTCAGGGCCAACTACGCCATCCTCTCACTGAGCTTGTAATATCGACCTACTCGCTGAAGAGAGAAAAAGAGAACAAAAATAATTTGAAAATTTTTTAGCTCGGAAAATCGCGCGCGAGCACCTCTATCTTCCTCAGCATGCTCTTTGTTCTTGTCATGA